TTTTGACATCTCGGCCCTCCTTCCCCAAAACCCCATTTTGTGACACCCTTTCTGCCACCCGGTAGGGCTGGAGGCAGCTCCTGTCAGACCCGATTGTATCTCTGGCTGATTTTGCAAAGAGCCGGGGGGCCCTGCTGCCCCTGGAGGAACTGAACTCTCCTGCTTTAGCCCTGGTCCCTGCTGGGGAAGCGAGCCCCCGGCACAGAGCTTGGCTGTTTCCTTGCCTGCGGCAGAGCAAGCTGGGAGCCAGCACTAATTTTTTGTAGTTTCAAAGCAAAAGGAATGTCCAGGGACAAGAGACGAGGGTGTTGCGAGCAGGAAGAGCAGCCCTGCTACAAACCCTGCCAGATAGCTGGCCAGGGAGGTGAACGTGCTGTGACGAAGCAGGATCACTTTGGGGGGGATCTCCTATAGCTGGCAGCTCCCTCGTGTAGGAAGTGCCCCATATCCTTGTCCCAGCCTGAAAGCTGCAGCAGGAGAACTCGCTAAATAACATATCCTGGTGCTCAGAGCAAAGGCAACCCAAGCAGTCCTGGAGTTTTCCAGCTATTTTCAATCTGCTGGTTGGCCCTGTGTTTGTGTGCTGCCTTTTGTACGCTTGTCAGCCTCAAATAAGCTGCCAGCCAAATGTTTGGGTGGCAGGTGAGCACTTCCAGGAGGGGCCACCGATTCATTTAGGCAGTAGGGTTGTGGGAAAAGGGATGCCCTCTTGTTTCTGCTCTTTGGTATCCCACACAGCAATCTTAACTACTGAACGCTTTTTGGGTTTTATTTCTGTAGCTCTAAAAATGCAAGTGCTGGTGGTTTAACTCTGTGGGAGGTATGCATGCAAATGCACGGTGCACAAAGTTTGCTCCAAAATACTTTTTTTTTCTGATGTCTGCTCTCCCCTCTGCTGCAGCCCTGAAGCCAACAGTCAGGGCAGACCTGCAGAAACCCTATTGATGAGGGACAATTTGGTGCTGCATGGTGCCGCTGAGAGACGCAATGCTGAGAGAGCAAATGTGTCGGCATCATGTCAAAACAAGAACATGGCTGGGTTTTTTGTTTGTTTGTTTTGTTTTGTTTTTCCTCGCTGCTATTACTGTCAGCACAATCATGCCTCAGTTTAGCTAGAGCTCTTTGGAGTCACAAAATTTGCTGTGGAGACTGAAGTTTATCGCGTGCAGCTTCTGATCACTTGCTAACCATCCAGTGTTTGGAGGCATATGGGAGGTACTTTACAATATACCCACATGAACAAGATACTAATAGATACTAATAGATATGAGGCCATGAAGCTTTAGTCTTCAGTGAGTACCTTCAGTATTTTCAAGATTTCTAATGTAACTTTGCTTAACTTACTTGTTGAAAATTTCCCTTATAAGCAACAACGTATTTTATATCCTACAGTTTTGCCTGAAGAACGTGCTTTTTCTGGTAAATTGCACGTTAGTCTGAATTATTCTGTGCCCATATTTGCAATAAGTTTTCTACAGCTGAAGTATCTGGAGTAAAATAAGCTTTTCTCTCTGTGTTATTTATTCACTTAGAGTTTTTGTTAAAAATCCGCTATCTCTAATTTTACGGTTCCTGGGTCTATGATTTGCTTCATTTGGGTTTTCATACAGAAACAGAGGAGTAGAGACAATGTGATTCCAAAACTCCCTGGACTGGCAGAAGTTTATAGGTACCTAAAATTACTTGAAACTTTTCTCGGTATTAACACACATGCTGTGAATTCCCTGTCTCCCCCATGACGGTGCTCTCTGGGTGCACCCAGAATAACCTCGCGAGCTCACTGCTTTGTGCACATTTATAGTCTTGGCCTCTCGTGCATTTGTATTTGTTCTATCCTCGTGGCTCTGCTGATGTTATTATGAATTATACAGGCTCAGGGAAAGGAAAAGACACTTCCTCAGGCTCTGCTCACCTTAAGCATTAGGACACAGATGATCATCTAACATGTCCTGTGAGGCTCTGGATTCCACAATGGCATTTTAAATACAAATAGTGCCTCCCTATCTGGCAACTGCAATCAGTCATCTTTAGTAACAAAGTATTCAAATCAGAATGGAAGTTATTAAAGGAAATTCGAATGTGAGATCTTATTTGCTAGTACTGTAAGGAAGAGACCCTCAGCTCTTGCTGAAATGAACTGAAATGATTGTATTTGTGTACGCTGCATTGAACCCCAGCAGGTGAGCTGGTGCTGTAGGACATTTTTGCAGTTTTGAGCACATTTCACCAGCTTGGCAGAGACCTGCTCTGCCATTGCTCTACTTTAGTAATTCTTCTACCCTGCTCAGGGACATTTACAGCATGCAAAGTACTCTGTATCCGGAGTACTTTGCAGGTGTATAGCAGAGAGTGAGGTTGGACATCAGCATCTTCCTGGCTGCTTTTCTGTAAACACAGAGGATTTGTTTTGTCTCCCAAAATTTGCAACCTACCAGCACAAGCTGAATTCAAGCAAACAAAAGCAAGCAAAACTTAGTTTTGTTTGCTCAGCCTTCACTACCATAGTGTCCGTCTTTTAGCCCAGGACAATTGGCACGGCTTGGTGGAGATGCTCAGAGGAGCACCACCTAACTGCAGCAGCACGATGTTGGTTATGCAGAAGTCTCTTGCTGCTTGTTTCTGTTAGGCAAGGAGAGCGATTTTCTGCTGTGGAAACTTTGCTCGTTTTCATCCAAGAGAAGCACATTTGGTTTTGGTGTTGCTTGTACTGAATGAGTGATGGAGAGGGGATGTAGGGTTTGTCGCAAGCTTCTGCATGAAGTTTCTGACACGGCACTTCCCCTCCAGAAAACCCAGAATTGTTCAGCAGACCACAGCTGAGGCAGACTTGGAATGGGGAGAGTGTCTGAAATACCTCTCTGAAGCTGGCAGTGTTTGGTTTTGATTGTCAGCCCAGACAGCGAGCACCTTGCAGTTGGAAATATGATGTGGAAAGGTGCTTCATACACAAAATTGCTTTCTCCTTTTATTTATTGCCTATTCAAAAGATCTTCTTTACAAGTTTGAAGGTGTAACCCCTGAGTTTGAAAGTTACCACCATCCTCTGTCTGGGTTAAAATCCATTCTGCCTGCCCAAAAGCACAGGGATTTTTAGCTTCTGTTCCATGCCTCCATTTTCTTCACAGTATTTTTCCTGATGGTCTGTCTCTGTTCCCATTGTAGTGTGGGCAGTGTTTATGTGAACGTGGCATCATGGAAATGTTCTTTTTTTTCTGCAGTACAACACCACCATTGACTGGTCGTCTCTGACAAAGAAGGAGTGCTTGAAATATGGAGGACACCTTGTGGGCAACAGCTGTGATTATGTCCCTGACATCACCCTCATGTCTTTCATCCTCTTTTTTGGCACTTACACCTGCTCCATGGCCCTGAAGAAATTCAAGACCAGTCGCTATTTTCCAACCACTGTAAGTCTCTCCTTTCACCCAAACCGTCAGTTTCTTTACTCTTTCAGAGTGCAAAGTTAAGCCTTCCTCTTGGTGTAGTTGTCACACAGAGGGGCAAAAGCTTTGCAGGGAAGCCAGACTGTATTTGACGCAATAACAACATGGTACTGGTTAACCAAGGTATAGCCTGGGTTTGCTTTAGCTTTCACTCTCTGTGTTTCTGAAGGACACAGGTAAGTCAGCAGAAGAGCCAAAAGGAGCAGTAATCTGTCATTGAGATGTGACAGTGATTTTAAAGGTACTGAAGACAACAATTCCAAGCAAAGATATGCAATAATGTAGCTTATCAGTCTTAAGAGTATTCCAGGCCTATGTAGTTTCAAGCTAGCTATTTTCAGAGCCAGATACAAAGCTCAATTTATGTACTGACTCTGGGGCAGGTTGGATGGACATTTTACAGAAGTCAAATATGCCATAGGGATGATTAATCAATGTCAGAACTTTCCCTGTTTATAGCCTAAGAGGAGTGTTTGGGGAGGACAAAAGAAGCCCTTTGCTTTGTGCCTGCGAAGTGGGTAAGCTAGTAGTCTGTATAGCATAGAAGAGATGCATCTTTCATGTTAACAGGTAGCATTTCAAGCACTCAAAAATGTAAAACTTGCCTACAGTCCATGTCTGGCGAACGTTTTGTGGTAGGGACTTGAAGCAGGAATTCCATTTCTTTTCTTAAGATCAGATGCTAAATAGGGATGTCCCTGGTAACTTTTGCATTGATTTAAACAAGATTTCGCCAACTTGTATGCATCTTTCAAGTGCATCTGCTTACTTCTGTCTTTGTCATGACAACTGTTCAATGTTCAAAGGCAGGGGAAAAAAAAAGGCCTTTCAGCTGTAAGGGGTTCATTTGAAACACACTGGACAAGTATCTCTGCCCTCCCCAAGATTCAGCCTTTGCCAGTTTCATCAGTTTGCATCTGAAAGAAGACATGCACATGAGCTTCTGTTTGTGTAACAAAAACCCGTGTTTGTGTAAGACTTGTCCCCCATTTTTGGCATTCTGACAGAATGGGATTTATCCTGCAAGGATTTTTATTTACTGTTTTGCTGTGTTACAATCGAACCTCCTATTATTTTTAATAAAAAGGAAATGAATTCCATCTATCCTGGAATGCCACTCAATGTATCTGTAACTATGTGAACCTGGGAAGCCTGGAAGGAACAAATCTTTAAAGATCCCGCATAGTTCCAGACAAGCACAGTGGGGCCTGTCTGGTTTAGCTTCAGAGCCCAACCGGTGGCAGCTTTATTGCATTAACTCGGGTAAAGTCGCACTCCTCAGAGTATGTAGAGGATTTAACCAAGAAACGGAGTTTCTCATCCTGTCTGTTTGGGTTGACTTATTACTTGAACAGACAACAATGCCAGTTTCAAACTCTGCCATTTACATGGAATATCACATCTGTCTTGGAAATTTGGGTCTTCCATTTTCTTCCACTCCCCCCCTCCCCTGTTTTGTTTTGTTTTGTTTTGTTTTCTTCAATGTACATTGCAAAATCAATCCCATTAAAAGAATGGTATCTGGGCAGAACATATGTTTTTGTGAAAGGCACATACCTTAAGACTTCTGAGATGACATGAGAAGCTCAACTTGTATCAAAATGCAGTCTCTGTCCCTGCAGAGAAATAACATGAATATGAGAATCCTAAAGAATCAGATCAGAAGGCAAACAGGAGGAGACAATATTAAATAATGTGTAAAAACGTCACTGTTTTTTTAGGCTCATTTGTAAATATTCACTATCTATTAATGTTGGAAGCTGACCTGGAAGTCTTTCAGTAATCAGTACTGAACAGAATGCAAACATATCCAGTTATTTAAAAAAGAAACAAACCTAAACCATCTCAGAATTCTTTCCAAGACATTAAATGGTTCTCAACCATTACTTTGGCAGCTTGGCTTACCATAGCTATCAGTGGGCTGTCCTGGCCCCCCAAACACTCCGAGCCTCCCGTGTCCCTGCATGGTCCCCATGTGCCTTAGCCTCAGGCTGGTGCTTGGCACCGACAGTCGGAGAGCAAAGCCTGTGCTAGCAGCGGACTTGCTCTGCTCCCAGGCATGCTCAGCACCTTGTCAGGAGAGGAATTGGGAGTCTCGAGTGAACTCTTCCCTCCCTGCTTTTTCTATGCGCATTTCATCTTGCACAGGAAGTTACTTATTAAAGAAAGGACCTATTTTTCTTGATAGACTTGCATTGCAAGCTTTTCAGACTCCTAGGCCTCCATCCTGGTGGTTGTTGGCTGCTGTTGAAAGCAGTATCAGTAAGACTGTTCTGAAGAATTCATGTGGGAGTTTCTTACAAAAGCAGTTTTCTTTTTCCTTGGGCTTGTTTTCATAATTCCATTTAGGCTTAATTGTTTGGCCTTCAGACAACACAATGAAGTACCAAGGCACATTTGGGGAAAATGGAATAAGACATTACAATGTGCACCTTTGTTTCTACGTAAAAAGAAATAATTAGTTTGTATTGCCACCAAATGCACACTTGGAGTATCACACAGAATCTAAGGCAGGGATAAAGTGGTGCCTCATAGTGCTGACTATTACGATATCAACTTCTGTTTCAGGCCAGGAAGCTCATCAGTGACTTTGCCATTATCTTATCCATTCTGATTTTCTGTGGAATAGATGCCCTGGTAGGTGTGGACACACCGAAACTAATTGTGCCAAGTGAATTCAAGGTATGTAATTGTCAGCTCATTTTGTGGACTTTGGGATAGCTTCCCTTTTCTACCCATCTGCCCTGACTAAAATGCCCTCAAAACGAGACAGCAGTCAGCTCGCTGGAAAGGACCATTTCACTCAGCTGCTACCCTTTCTATTTGCTTTGGTTGGCTGATTTATCCCCCAAATCGTGCCTCCATACTTTGAACATAGATCCAGCTTCTCCTACCTCCTTTCAGACTGGTGTAAGTTCTTGCATCCAGGACTTGTGTGCGCTGGGTTATGTGCTCAGTCACCCCAGGGACACTTTCCCTCGTTCAGCTCCTTGGAGAAGCTGCTTGAGGGTGCTTGCTGGCACATTCCTCGTAGTCCCCCTTGTAACCTTGCTGCTAATCAGCTTGCAAAAGCTGGGCCCCCATAATCAATGCTTAATTATTAAGGACTTTTTGTTGCTGTTTCTGGGAAGGATTAAATTATCACAAACCTCAAGTGTCTCTCTGTAGCCTTTTAATGGAAGGAAAATCCCTGTTGGAAGTGTAAAGACGTTTATACTATGATAATGTCACTCATATATTGCAACTCTAACATAAGCTTTCCTTCCCTTGCCCTTAAAAGCCCACCAGTCCCGAGAGGGGTTGGTTTATCCCACCTTTTGGAGGGAACCCATGGTGGGTGTACCTGGCAGCAGCCATCCCTGCACTGCTGGTGACTATCCTCATCTTCATGGACCAGCAAATTACAGCCGTCATCGTCAACAGGAAGGAACACAAGCTCAAGGTGGGTGTGCTTGGTGTCTTGCATGTATGTGAAGAGCTGTCCTGTGCTGCTTCTGTGCTAGAAATGGAGGAGGGCCTGCGGCAGGGCTGCATATACAGCATGGCTCAGCACGGACAGGAAAAAGAAGGGAGCCACGGTATATCCACGAGGTCAGGATCTCACTCGGAAGAAAACCTAATGAGGGAGGATGGGGCAGCACAAGCTGTAACCGTAAAAGGTAGAAAGAGCTGGGTGTGTGGGTTTTTCTGCTGTGCTGGGTAATGCCTTGAACCCTGACACCAGAGAGTTTGAAGTTCAGTGTGGATGCCTGACACCCTTCTAATGATTGACTAATGGTACCCTTGAGTGTCCTCTGATGTCACTGTGTCAGGAGGGAAAGAATGAAAGTTAACTGTGGAATAAACGAGCATGCGTGGATCTGCAGAGAGCATTCAGTGTAGGAGCTCAGGCTTGCTGCTGGAAGAGCCCGCGTGCTTGAAAGGTCCTCTGCTCCAGCCCAAGCTGTGACCTGATTTTTCTGTGGACTGCATCCGAGCCAAAATCTTTCTCACCTAATCAAAACGGGCAAAGATTTTCCAGATCTGATAAGCCCCTGTTAGTGTGCTAATCGTAAGGCCAGTGGGTGTTCCCAGAAATAGAATCATCAAACTGGCAGAACAAAGCTCTTTGTGTCACGGCCAACCCATACGTGAGGCTGTCAGCTGCTCCAAAGGGGGGTCCTGGTGTGCTGGGTGATGGCAGAAACCCACCTCTGGTGGGTATGGCAAGAGACGGCCCAAGTACAGCAGCCGTGGTGGCTTTATGGTGCGGTAAAATACAAGAAATAAGCTGAAGAGATCTCGGATGTACCAAAGGTATAGCTACAGTTGGATGTTATTGAAAGAGAAGCTTTATATCCGCTGACATAGAACAGCCTAGGATGTAGTAATGTTTTTAAAATAAACTTTCCAGACCAGCACTATGCAGGTTTTCATGCCTGTAGGGTTTTTCCTTTCCCTGCCTGGTCAGTTCTATTGAAAAATATTAAATTCCTGTAAAAGAAGACTCTCCCTTCCTGCTAACAGTGCACGTTTCAAGTGGTCTAACCTATGAGAGCAAAGACTCACTCAAAACATGGCTAATGCTGGGTCATTGTTTAGCTAGCCAGCTCATCAGTCATACTGAGAGCTGTTGGAAATGTAGCTCTCCTGTGAGTTGAGCTCTTACTTGAAAAAGAGGAGGATGTTGCAGTTCGAATGGTCACTTGTGGGCATTAGACAATCAACGTGATTTAAGACTGACCTGGGGGACAGAGAGGGCACGGGGAAGGTTTGTTGTGCAGTGATGATTGCTGGCTGACCGCTGTCTTGCAGGGCTGGATTGAAATGACCCCCAGAACATCCCTTCTTGCCATCTGGAGCTGGGCAGATAAAATTAATAGTGTGCCCACATCTTCCTCAGGGGGAGGCTAATCTTTACCCTGCCCTTGAAGCACACCATTAGGTGTAGGTGATTATGGAGGCAAGGCACAGCGCATATGTCTGCAAGCCTGTCAGACAGGGCTGTCAGCATACACTTGCTTTCTGCAGGTGTCTGATTTCCTCACCTGTATGTTTCCTGGACACGGCCTCAGTTTTAGGCACACTTGAGCCCTCACGATACGGCCTTCTGCTGCTACACAGGTGTAACCGTATCCACTCCAGGTATAGCAAAGCTGGGGAAGGCAACAAAAGGTTGAAACCCAGGGGTAATTCCTTTCCTGTGCAGAGGGCATGCAGCCTTTTGACCAACGTGTCCTCCTCCCCTCGGCCTTGCAGTTTCAAGGTGCACCTTCCCTGTTTCTGCTTTAGCTTGTAGGTGCTGAACACGGTTATGCTATCAGCACTGGGTGTACTTTTTTAGTAGCAAAGTATAAACATTCCCACAAGGTACTGTTTAAAATAAAAATTTGTTTCCTGCTTCCTTTGTTAGGGTTGTGAGAATATGCTTTTGTTTAAATGGGGGTTCACTAGTCCGACCCTGCAGCTCTGCACCAAAATATACAAAAGTACAGAAAATCTACTGTAGGCCCAAAAGAGGACTTTTTTTTTTTCTTTTTTTGCTGGTGCCTTGTTAAAAGTATTGGCAGGGTGTTGCTGAGTGCTGCTGGCCAGCCAAGGTAAGCGGTGCGTCTATTAGGAAAACAATGAGTACTATTCAAAAGGAGCTGGGTTGCTTTCCCTCTTAGGTCACCAAGTAGGTCTGGCTCATTTGTTCTTTCCAATAAAATCAAATTGAACAAGTTTAAAAAAAGGTTAATCTTCTTTAAAATATCAAACCTTAAAGATTTCTCTGGTATTTTTCTGAAGATCCCTTTCTTTTGTGGCTCTTTTGTTTCTCCATTTCTCTTGGCATTTGTGACTGGTGGATTTCCTGTGTTAGTCCATTAAAGGATTTAAAAATAACAGAGAAAAGCAATAAAAAGAAAGGTGTACGTTGTTTGGGAAAAGCTTTTTGAGGTAAATTTACCCAGTGTTTTGCTAGCAGGCACCAGTGTCTGCTTCTGACAGAAATTACTCTCTTTCCAATCTCAGTTTCCACAGGAGTTTCTCTTCAAGCCCATCTGAAGACCAGAGGTCTTTAAGAGGGTGTGAGGAATGAGGGCAGCTTTCTCCTTTTGCTAGGTGATGAGAAGCCATCAGCTGCTCTTGTTGCTTTCCCCAGGAAAGCATAAAGTTAGGCGTTCAGTACCCAGCGTGATCAGCAGCGCTCAGACCATTTGCAAAGCCCTGACTGAGATTCTACAGTTGCTTCCTATCTTAAATATAGGAGTTCAGATCTTGCTCTGAGATAGGAAATGGTAAATGTTACCTTTTGGCAGGCACCATATACCTGTAAGATTGCTTTCAGGTAGGTTTCATTAAGTCATTACATTGAAAGTTATTTTAAAACAGCTGCTTGAAACTAAAATTAGGCTTTGGGCTGTTTTTTTGAAAGGGTAGTTTGGGTGTTTGAATCTCTGTGCATATCTAAGCTGTCACTGACACAAACGTGACATGATTTGGCACATTAAGGAACAGTTTTAGTTCCTGATGCCAAATGAAAAAAACACTTGCAAATGGAATGAGCTTTTGTACTTGGAAGAAAACAAGGGACCTCGGGGAGAAATTGTGGATAACTTTGTTCTCCATTGTACAGAAGTGTGCTCTGACTTTTGGAATTGGCCCACAAGTCCAGTTAAAGATAGCAAACACTGCTCATCTGCCGTGTCTTTGCAAATCAGGATACCAGAGAGGAAGAGAGAAACTGAAGGAAGTGGACAGAGTGAACACAGCTGGACAGGGATTTTGCACCTTGTTGTCTATTACAGATTCCGGAATAACGCGTCACTTTCCTAACACCGGTACCTTCGTCAGCATTGCTCCTCCCTCCATCATGACTAGTTAGTTATTCAGGCTTTACTCTGACTGTGATGTTTGTGTGGAGGGCTAGACTCGTATGAATGCACAGTTGGTGAAATCCTGGCCTCCCACTGTATAAAAAGAAGTCCCAGGCACTTGTAATAGATCACTAGGATAACAGCTGACAGTGTCTTAAACTGCTCTCTTGCTTTGCAGACGATCCTCGCATGCACTTACCCTGTCTGAACACTGCTGTTGCCGGAGCTGGTCTCATGCTGTGAAAATGGGCTGCTCTGTGTCTGCATGTGCTGCGGGCAGGCAGCAGCGGGTTGGGATGGTGCCAGGCATTGCATTTCTTCTCACCGTGTCACCTCACGTTTAAAAAAACAAAAAAAAAACAAACAAACAAAAAAAAAAGGGAACATTTAATTATAAAAATAGCACTATATAATGGGGTTTCATTTGTGTTTATTCAGAGGCAATGCAGAGCTCCTTCAGAATACTGTGAGCCTACTGTAATCAAGATATATATTTTTTTGAGAGGTTGCTTGTTTACACTGTTTATAAGATAGGATGCGTAGCCCACCTAGTACTTTTCAGTAATCATTACTTCTTTCCAGTTGTGTTTAACTCAAAGTCTGCTATGTTCAGTACCACTGTGCTGAGCTACCTGATTGACTGGCTGCAGGGCTAGCCTGGCACCATCTAAACCTCCAAGTACCGTGCAGCATATACAAGATGCTTGTTCGTTTGCCAGACTG